CGGATTAGCATTAGACAGCGAGGGAGGCTGTTTTAGATTTGTACTATGTGGTTTCTGCAAAATGGCGTTTGGCAACGAATGACGTTCTTTCGGTTGCCACAAAGTGCCAATTTTGAACAGGAACTCGAAGAGGGCAACGTTAAGCTTAGTCTTGACAATCAACTCACCATGTTCACATGCAGAGACTACCATGCAACCTCAAACATCGCGTTCATGTGACACGCTTCCTACCTGCTCCGCTGTTCAGCTGGTCTCTTGTTTGTACAACGCATCATAGAACATCTCGAGCTTTCCATTGACCAAAGTCACCACAGGAATGTAATCAAAATGTCCAAACGAGGACCGAACATTTATATCGAGCCACTAACTCCATGACCGCAAAGATAGTTCACCCCTATGGATGTTTGTGTGGGAGCACCCGGCTTACGTGCGAGTGTACACTCGCTACCTCTGCGGTATTGGCTCAAACAGATCACGTCGGCACATACTCTAAAGCTTCGGCGTATGGACCAGCTACATTATTCAGCTTCACCGTCGAAACTTGTGTTCTCGACGGACGTGCCACGCGTTAGTGAAGCTGCTGTAGTAAATTTCACATGTGTCGCGCATACATAGGTACCTAGGTAGGGAAGTGTGTCAGTGCACCCATGTTTGATCCAGTACAGAAAATACTGTAGTGGCTGAAATCAAATCTCGGACTTGATGCACACATCAAAGGTCATCCCATGCATTACATCTCTCTCTTCTATGCCGTCCTAATGTGACTGGTTCAAGTGTCCAAGGCCATCGTAGGACTTGATCATAACAACTGAGTGTTACACTGCGAGTATAGGAGGAACTTGTTTGCTATGGGTTCAGCGTGGCATCTGGGAAACCTAGAGCACCTATTGGAATCGAAGCTTTTCCACGCCAATGTAGGAAACACTGGGGAAACAGTCGACTTTCATCATCCCAGCTACTCGTGGTCTCGCTGGCATCTTGGTGCGCTGGGTTTTGGGCCCGAACGTAACGGGCAAGGATCTAGGGAAGAGAATGGGGTTTTCTGATTGTACGTGGTGGAATATGGTTGGGATGGTATAATGGGAGAAGGCGACATGAGATGCCCGGCGGAAGACGTAGGCTCAGTGGCAAACGGATTTCTGAGGTCGCCTACTTGGTGAGAAGATCGTTTCCCAGTGAATACTGAGATATTCACTTGGTGAGACCTTACCTAACAGTCTGTATAAATTGATAAATACTTATACCCAAGCTTCGTGTCGTGACATATGTTTCCTCCTTCCCCAAAGTACTGATGGATGCTAGAGACAAAAAGATTATTCAGAGCGTGGTTCTGGGTTTCCAAACAGCAATCAAATGAATCCATGATGGCTGGCGTGCTCGCCAGGTGCTGCCGTACTCATCGACTCTGAATAATAGTGGACGTCGACGAGAAACCCCATCGACCAGTGTGACGGTGTAATAAATCGCATATTACCCCATAAATTCAAACCCTTTGCCCCAACTCTTCTACCAAGAGGGACGGCCCGAGCTTGTACGTTTCATGGTCCGGACCGAGACTGTCGCCGGTCAGTGGCAATGAACAAGGGTGTATAGCATTCAAGCCACATTCCGAGGTTGATCACGGAGCACCATTTCAAATGCAGTCAAGTTGTGGTCTTGGCCGGATATGCCCTGTTTGAACGGACTTCCTGAACAAGTTGGCGTCGGCCGCGTGCGCCCGCAGGATTGCCGGACAGCTCCTGTGGCGTTGTTTTCTTTTGCCAGGAAGATATCGCATCGCTATTCACTCAGGGCACTAAATTGTACTTCGGAGATATTTTGAAGAGTTGAGAAAATAGGAGAGCCATATGAGTAACCATAATGCGGATTCAACTTTGATGGAGTTCGATCTTGAGGTCACCCGTCTCCGGTTATTAATATCATCTTGCCCTTCTGTCTTCATACTCTGGGCACCGTTTTTGAATTATTTTATAACTCAATTTCGGCTGTGGCCTAAATTCTTAGCCAAGACCTGCCAAGAGAGATAACAAGGTCAGTCCACTCTTCGCCCCGGTGAAAGATAAGATCGAATTCGGTAGCCTTCGCCAAGCCAAAGCCCTATTGGAGGCGACGATACGGAAGTACAATCTTTTTTTACTGTCGTTATGGCGCCGCCGAATTCCCACCGAAGCCACTAATGAATAGGAGAAGAATAAAAACATCAAGGGATGCCAAAATCTTTGATCGATTTGCACCTTAGTATTCTTCCCGTATATTGTTTCAGGCTTCTTGGACCCTACAAGCTATATACCTAGATTAGCTTAGTCTGCAGTGGCCTCGCTGCTACACGGGTCCACTCGCCGCCCTCGCACCAAAGTATTGATTTTGGTCGCAAGACACCGGCTCAAGAACCATTGGCAAGCCACGAACGACTGGTGCGTGCGCCGCTGGTGCAACAATTGCGAGCATCGACCGGGAAAACAACTCTCCAGGACTTGCGCGAGTGCAAACTCTAGCCCGTCCTGCGCAAGCTCCCCACGAGCATCGCCAAAATGACAGTCGTTGACCGCATCAACGAGAAGGTAGCGAAAAGCCCGGTAGGAAGATGGTTCCGACTGGATGGCTCCGGCCACAGCAAGACTCGTGCCGGGTCTTACTTCTGTACTGAGATCCGCGCTGGCTTGGCTACTTTCTTCGCCATGGCCTATATCATCGCAGTCAATGCAAGGTGAGCAGAGTGATCTCGACATCGAAGGATTCCGATTTTTATGCTAATTTCATATTAGCATCGTTGCCGATACGGGTGGTACATGTGTCTGCAACGGAGGGGCTGCTGACCCTGTGTGCGACACCAACGAGGAGTATCTGCTATGCGCGAACGAGGTCAAGCGGGATTTGATCACTGCGACGGCCGCTATATCAGCGCTAGCTTCGTTCTGTATGGGATTGTTTGCAAACTTGTAAGTGAGAGACTTATATTCCACACCCTGTGCAAGTGTTGACCATGGCAGACCTGTTGGACTTGCCCCTGGCATGGGTCTCAACGCATATTTCGCCTATACTGTTGTGGGTTACCATGGAACGGGAACAGTCCCTTACCAAGTTGCCCTAACCGCCATATTTGTCGAGGGATGGATCTTTTTCGCCCTCGCGCTTTTTGGCATGCGACAGTGGCTCGCCCGCGCCATTCCGCGTACTATCAAGCTCGCAACCTCAGTTGGAATCGGTCTGTTCCTCACTCTTATCGGTCTGACGTACTCTGAAGGCATTGGTCTCATTGTTGGCGCTACTGATACGCCCATGGAGCTGGCGGGATGTGTCGATGCCCTACGAGACGCGGATACGGGCTTGTGTCCTGACGGAGGGAAGATGCGTAATCCACGGATGTGGATTGGCATATTCTGTGGCGGCATTCTGACTAGTCTTTTGATGATGTACCGAGTCAAGGGAGCTATTTTGTTTGGCATCATCCTCGTGTCCATCATCTCTTGGCCCAGGACAACGGATGTTACCTACTTCCCTTACACAGCAACGGGGGATGACAACTTCAACTTTTTCAAGCAAGTTGTGACATTTCACCCGATCTCGCGGACTTTGAACGTGCAGGAGTGGAGTATTGGTGAGTATGGTGGCCAATTTGGTCTAGCATTGATCACATTTCTGTATGTCGATATCCTCGACTGTACAGGCACTTTATACTCGATGGCAAAATATGCGGACTTGGTCGACCCCGTCACGCAAGATTTTGAGGGCTCAACGATGGCGTAAGTTGAAATATTCTTACTCCCATCTTTCCAACTGATCTCTGACATGAATTTTAGGTACATGGTTGACTCTGTCTCGATTGCCATCGGTGCTCTACTTGGAACTCCACCTGTGACAGCCTTCGTTGAGTCCGGTGCTGGTATAGGTGAGGGCGGCAAGACGGGGCTCACCGCTATGTCGACAGGTAAGTTTCTTCTCCGATTTAATTTCGCTCCATTTTTGCCAGTCCAATACCTCAAAGCGAAGGTATTCTTGCAAGCGCAAAGCCCTTGATACTTTCTAGTTCAAACGTCTGCCGCTGCCCTTGTCGACTCCGGCTAACTCCCGAATGTATTAGGCTTGTGCTTCTTCATTAGCATCTTTTTCGCGCCAATCTTTGCATCGATCCCGCCATGGGCAACTGGCTGCGTGCTTGTGCTCGTTGGCTGTATGATGACGGTTTCTGTGACCGAGATCAACTGGCGATACCTCGGTGATGCGGTGCCAGCATTCGTTACCATTGCCCTGATGCCCTTCACATACTCGATCGCCGACGGGCTCATTGCTGGAGTCTGTGTCTACATTGTGCTCAACACCACTGTCTGGGTCATTGAGAAACTTTCTGGTGGGCGAATTGTTCCCTACAATAAGGACATGAAGGACGCCTGGACGTATAAGATCCCTGGCGGGGTTCTGCCACCGTGGATGACACGACTGGCCAAGGGCAAGCGGGACTTCTGGAAAGGCCAAGAGAAGACTGAGTTCGTAGGGCAAGAGTTGAGTCGGACTAGCGGCAGCTTGCAGGATGGTGGTGCTGATGAGAAGGTTGTTGGTGCTACGGCAGGGACAGAGCCCGTGAGTGATGGCAGCGAGAAGTCGAGATCTTAAGGGCAGTCAGAGTTAAAAAAATGTAAATTAGCCCTGCACAATGCAGCAATTACATGAATCATTGCACTTTGACGCACCAAAGTCAGACAATCTGTGCGTGGTGGTTGAGAATGGGGGATTGATACCGCGGGCAATACGCTCCAGAAGGCTGCTCTTCGAACGCACCACTGCAACCACAATTTACAGCAAATACCTAATGCACGGCCCTTGCACGTTCCTTGCACCTTTCCTCCGCCTTCCATTCATGTCAATTTAGCGTGTTCGATTACAGCGCGCGCGAGCAAAACCAAAACTCGCCCCGAGAATCCACCAGACCACCCCAGGCCACAACCACTTGGGGATAAACGGAAAAAATAGATGTTAACATCGTCAGATGTCTCATTAATCGTTGACCTGTGCAGGGGTCGAACCTGCAATCTCCTGATACCATTTTCCTGCTGGAAATCGTAGTCAGACGCCTTGCCATTGGGCCAACAGGCCGCTTTTTGTTGGAGGAGCTGTGCAAAATTTTGCATATAACCCAGCGTTACAAGTGGGCCGGCTTCCGGAACATCCGGATGATAATGGCTATGCCGCGGCTTGAGAATAGTCGTTAGTAATCTTATGAACGACGGAGCTCATAACATTCCGTATAAGCCTAGTCGACGATTTCCACTTCGGTCTCGTTTTGATCAATGTGACCCACGAGGCTGAGACGTATTTTCACGGCATGCCGACCTTGGTGAACAAGAAGAAATTTGAACTACATTGCAAAATTTGTTGAAATTATCACCCAATTCTGGTGCTGATACTCAGGAAAGGCTTCACACAAATTCCGTCGGGCTGCCAGATTCAAAGACTCGCTCTCGCCATATCTGTGACCAAGCCGTCCATGATATCAGTCTTGATTATATCATTGTCATCTGTTAGTCCTCTCTTGCATCCGAAGTCGAACTTTACAGACTCTAGGCTTGCATAAGCATATTCCGCCGGTGCGTACGACTTATAAGTTGCGCCCGAGTATCCTTTCACTTGAGCCTGAGCATCGCTATGTTCTTGACTTAGTGCATGATGGTCGCATGGAGGGCTTCAAATTGCTGGACTCACCGGTAGTTGTCATAGATGCCGCACTTCCGTCCATTTGCTACTGCATAGTATCCAGGACGTCCATTGTTCTCACTTGTTTGTGATTTCGGACCATCGGCGGGCATCTGCAAAAAGTGAAAGGTTCCGCAACCAGGTTCCTGCCCGTGCTCCAGTTGCTGTAATAGAAGCCAATGTTTGGCCTCTGCGAAGGTGCTGAAACCTTTGAATCGATTTTCGGGGAAATGGTCCACTTGCGAGTTCGTATGAAGCCTAAGATCTCTCACAGTTAGACGTCACAACCAGACAGTCCCGGATCTCAACTATTGATTGATTTCTCACCATGATGTTGTGATACAGGGAGGACAGCGTCCTTTGTGAATGGCGTAGAAATGCTTCCGCTCCCGCACTTTTCTTGACATTTTGTCACTATCTAGGCAAGGCCGTTGCTTGGTGAAGAACCTTACGAGTATGACCAAGTGTGAGAAGATATACATTCGAGGAGATGGAACCAAGGAGCAATGCAATTTACTGGAACACTTTGTCGGTGGGACTAGGGACAATATTTATGCAATCGAGATGGGCGGATAGGATTCGTGCTATGGAGTAGGCTGCGCACCGTTGTCTGTTTACTGCACACTGCGCCTCTGCCCGAGATGGGCATCCCGCATCCGCATGGTCTGGATGGATATGACCCAACATGCATTGCTACCTGTTCCTATCAACGACCATAGCAATGAAATCGGAGCGGGGTTCTGTGGTGGTACTGGCCAATCGTTTAAAACAGTTGGCATACACAAGCCCCTATCCAGCTGCCATCATGGTTGGTTGGCAAGATTGGCCCGTCCTTCTCACGACCGGGATGTATGAACAACATCCTTCAAGTCCGCCACATCTCCTGTCCTCCAGCTGACATTCCCGCTTGCGTCGTTGCCCTCTTTCCCCTTCCACTGTGGGATATCTTGGGCACCTTGCTCGACCAGGCCCTGGATGAAACGACCGATTGTTAGCAGATACTTGAAGCCATGTCCTGAATCTCCGCTAGCAATGATCAAGCCCTGTGTTCTGGGAACAAAATCGATGATGAAGCCAGAGTCGGCTGAGTCTGCGATCCAACAAACATGTTTGCAGATCAAGCGTTGCTCAGCGAGCTCGGGTAGCGCCTCACGCAGCAGCTTTTTGATTCTCCTCTCATCCTCCAACGGTACGATACGTCGTTTTGCGAAGGCAGCGAGTGACTCGATCCGTGAAGAGGTGTCTGATTTGTATATCCTGCTCCTGAAGAACAGGTGCAGATTCTCCGTGTCCGACTCGAAAAAGAATCCGAGGTCCCTTGCATAGGTCACCGGCATTCCCATCAGCCGAGTAGCCTGCTCCTCATTGAGCTGTATGTGTGCTACACAGAGCGCTTTGGCTACAATCTGGCGCCCGATTTGCGGGAGCAAAGAGGCCAGGCAAGGACCGACGGTGATAATCACTGCATCAGCCAAGTAGGTCTCGCCGGAGCATGTCTTCACGCCAACACATCTTCTGTTCTCGGGATTGCACTCTTCGCACAGAATTTCTGTCACAGTCTTGTCGCAGCAGATGACAACTCCCACATCAACCACGGCCTGGTGAATCGAGTACCCTCCTCTGTCCGCTTTTCATTGTTGCTGCTCTTGGGGTCCGGTCAGATTCAGACGAAGACCGAAAGCTGGTACTGGTGACTTGGAACGATCTTTGAAGGACCTGGCAGATTGGATGCGTTGGGAAGGCTCGCAACCTCATAGAAGAGGTGTGGAAAGCCAGAGACTTGGGCCGGGTAGATGCTGCGCAAAGCTGGTCGAATCTGGAAGGCAGACACCGCAATGTCAGTCTCGCTTGATATGGTAGATATAATAGCACAACTGTAGTGAATTCCGTTTAAATTTCACTCGAATTTCATTGTTCCTAATGCTCAGAAATTCATCCTGGTTAACCCAATGCCAGACCTAATGAGTATATCGAAAGTTCTCCTGGTTCTTGTCCGTGACATCCGTGAAACCCTCCACCACGTTGCACACGTCTTCCGGTTTGCCATATTTTCTATCCCTTTTCTTGTTATCCATCGACACCACGACGAAGTAAATTAACAGAATCAAGATTGAAATACAATAGCAAACCAGCATCGCGACGACGCCGCCTGTGTATTTAGGGGCTTGGTTGGAAATGAAAGTTTGAGGCCCAATCAAGTTACCAGCCGCGTACCCTATCGTTACAAGACTGAAGGCTATCGACTTCTTCGTCTGACCAGCTGTATTGGCCTGAGGTAAGGAGATGCCGATCACGTAGGGTGCTAGGGAGCCACGTTAGCCGACTGCATCACTTTGAAGCGGTGACTGCGCATAGACTTACGCCAGTAAAAATACATGAAGTACAAGCCGACCAACTGTCCTGCCACATTTGACTGTGGTAATCCATAAACAAGGGCTGCACCAAAGATGGGAAGCAACAGCGCGATACAAGCAACGAGAGTCCTCCTGTTATGCCAACGGCTGGCGATGAAGCTGAAGAACCATGCACTGGAAGTTGCTAGGAGGCCAAAAGGCATGGTCAACAAGCTGGCGTTGAGATCGCTAAACCCAAGATTGGAGTTGATTATAGTTCCGAATGCTTGAAGACCTCCATTTGGAATGTTGATTGCAATATTGAAGATGAAGATCAACCAGATTTTCACGTCCAGAACTGCCTCTGAGACTTGCTCCCATTTCCAGACCTTGTTGTGTATGCCAGTCCTGTTCGATGCAAGTCGCTCTACAGCCCAGTATTTCTCCTCTGGTGTGAGGAAACGAGCATTCATGGGGCTGTCGGGAAGAATGGTGAACAGGAATAGCGAGTATAAGACGTTGATGACCCCCGTCATAAGGTAGAGATATTGCCATTTCTTCAGTGGCGCAGAGTCAGGAATTTTCCCCACTATCCACGCAAAAAAGCCGTTGATAATGGATGAGAAATATGCGAAGATGACTTGTGAAGAGGGCTTTTGTCAGTATGAACATCATTGGGTGTCATGTGTGCGGTCAATCTCACTGGCGTTTCTCTGAGGTTGCTCCTCTTTTTTGTAAAAGCTGACGACAAGCATGGTCAGGCTTGGAGTGATGGCCGATTCTATAAATCCCATGAGGAAGCGAAGCACCATAAAACCCGCCCATGAATGGCAAGCTGCATACAATGTAGTTAGGATAGACCAAAGCAAGGATGCAACGCAGAGAAGCTTTCCCGGTGGGACTCTGTGGACAAGCCATGTTGTGATTATGTATCCGCACAATTGCTGCACCTTGGATTAGCTATGGCTTCCCATTTGTCAAACTGTCAGACTTACACCAAGAGGCAGAATACTACCAAGCCAGCTGTATTCTTGTCCGTGCATATGGTTGTCTGTCTGGAAACCGTACAAAGAAGCGGTTCCAATTTCAACTTTGTCTACGGCCCCGAGCGTAGCGGTAAACAAGAGCTGTTCAGCAGAATCATTAGTAAATGCGGTTGTGAGCCCACAGCTATAGACTCTTCTTACCAAGGGAATCATCCACGAGTCGATTTCCTTCGGAGTTTGTCTTCCTTCTCTGGCGTCAAGGCTGCATATTGCCCAGTGTTGGCATTGGCCAAGTATTTTGCGGCTTCGTCAAGGGTGTGGGTACTGTCTTCCGCAGTTTTTGCTGCAATATCTTCTACTTCCCCTTGACTTTGAGATGTGACGGGGTGAATTAATGCTTGCTTTGTGCCCAATGGCACGCTTGGAGTCTCTGTGGACAACCGTAAAGAGCGAGCCATGCCTGTGGCGGATAGCCCAACTGGGGGCAGTCAAATGAGGCTAAAATATCCTCAGACTAGTTGAAATTGGAACACTCAAATCGATGGGAGAAGAATATGTTCTGGATAGAAGTCGGGATATTAGTTTGTCGTGCATCATTTGGAGTGAGTATCATGTACCGGGCCGATGTTTCGAAGAATCCGGTAATCAAGACATTTCGTGATAAACGTATCAAAGTGCCCAAATCTATGTCCCTGATATGATGGTAATCTTTGCTGCATGGGCTGCAGGCTGGAAAACGTCGCTTGTATGCAATGTTCAGGACCACGTCACTACCTATTCAGTACGCCAAATAGCCTTGAGAAGCCCCATTCCAGCGGGCGAACTGATAAGGAATGTTGGGTAGGGGAGTCCGAATTGACCTCGTCGTTCCAATAGCCAGGTAAGGTTGATGTGAGCAGGGGTTTCATTTTGGTCCATGCCTCAGATCCCTGTGTATCATATGCGATACCGATGATTGAGTAGGTAGATAGGATTTGGATGGCTGCAGCAGATCTTGGAAAGCAAACAGTGCCGGTCCCGGGTGTGTTGAGTAGACTGCCAGACTACTGTTCAGTCTGACGGCTGAGAAGCCCGGTAGGCATCA